CAAAAATTATGAAATTGTGTGTTTCCTACTTGTCACTAAACACTGATTACTGAAGGTTAAGAATTCTAATTAATACATATAATTTTAAAATAATAAAAATGAAAGAAAACAACTATATGAAAAATGTGCAAAATAGGATGTGCTTTTAATAAGGAAGTAGACAAAGTATGTTTTAATTAAAGGAAAAAGAGTGATTTTGTCTGAAAAGAGAAAGACATTGTTCTAGATAAAAAAGAAAAAATAAGACGAAAACTGAATGGATATAGAAAGCTGCAGAAGGTCTACAGAAATAAAATGTGATGTATGATCAAATGATTAAGATTAGATAGATTTATTTAAAAGTTTTTCTTGTTTTTTTTGAGTTGGAATCTCACTCCGTCACCCAGGCGGGAGTGCGGTGGCACGCTCACAGCCACCTCAGCGTCCACCAGCTGGGCTCAGGCAATCCTTCCGTCCCAGCCCTCCATGTAACTGGAACTACAGGCACATGCTACAGCACCTGGCCAATTTTTTATTTATCGTAGAGATGAGGGCTTGCCATGTAGCCCGGGGGGGTCTTGAACCTGCAGGCTCAGGCAATCCACTCACCTCAGCCTCCCAAAGTGCTGGGATTACAGGCTGAGCCAGTGTGCCTGACCATCCTTAGTTTTAAAAAACAGTCTAATCACAAGGAACCTTGATTAGACCTTTAAAAGTCTCTCCAGTCTAAGAAGACAAGCCAAGGACTTACCCAACTATGACTTGCTACAAGGAAAACAAGTTATTATTGAACTTACGTAAATACTGATATTGTCCTGAAAATAAGAATATTTAATACGAGTTTCTAAATTCTGTAGGGAACAGGTAGGGAGAAAAAAGATAAATGTCTTATTTTTGTTTCAAATTGCTACAAATTATAGACGGCTTAAGAGGAAAGAGAAAAAGTGATCCTTACAAATCTGGAAAACAAGACATTAAAAAACTAGCAATGTTAGAAATAAAAAGTAATAAAAATTATAATTATCCTCATCAGTTAATTCAGTCTTATGTAATTCATTTTTATTTTGGGTTAGGAGGTTTATGAGTCTACCAGTTTTCCATTAGAATTTTGAAATTCCTACACAGTACAATAACATGATCTTAAAGTTATCAGAAACTTGAATTTGTCAGATACTTTTTTATGAATCTCTTGAAATTGTATATCATAGCCGTTTGCAAAAGCTTTCAGGAAAGTGTCAGAGTAAAACAATAACTGTCTGTGGATGACAAAAGACAAAATGATTATGGTTAAAGATCTGATGAGAGTTTATTATAATGCAATTGCCAAGGAAATTTGGTTATTTTGCAACACACAGTATTTTAAGATAATATTTAAAACTATGACTTATAACATTATATTAGGATATATCGAATTTCTAGAAAGTTTGCATAATTTTAGAGTATTTATATTAATAATGTATTCTCATACAGATGTAATATAAAATGGTTAACCATCACCTGTATTTGACAATGCTGCCCATTTAATTTAACATATCAAATAAATCTAAGGATGATTTTATAGAGCCAATAAAGCCTCTTAGATATTATCAAAGGTTTGTCTTAAATGTTATACTTAGCAATAGTCAAATTGCGGCACTAATGTAAAAATCAGATCAAGTTTAATGAAACTAGATTTATACAAATTCATCTTACTGTGATCACTTTTGGTAAAAATGGAAATGACTGTAAAAATTATATTTCAGTAGAATACTATAGTGCATCATTATGAAATTCTAGTCATGTTCATTGTCTGTGAGGTTTTGTTACTATCTGTAGACTGGATTGGATTGTGAATTCTTCCAGTTTAACTAAAAACTAAAACTGATGTTTACCCAAGTCCTGTGCTAAAACTGAATGACTTGATAAAAACTTCAGAAAAATCACAAGACATCGTGTATAAACAACTGTCATGCCTGCTACTGTGTGGGTCACTCAGAATGTTCACCAGAACACCTGATGACATAACCAAAGATATTCAATCTGCAAACTCAAGGAGCATCCATCAGATTGCAACTGCCATCTTTGTTCCACCATCTAAAGACATGCTTCAAACTCAAATCTAAAAATCTTTTCAATTAGCTACCCTCCTGACTCAAAAACCAATATCATAATTTGCTATTAATCTTTGGGTCTTTTTGTTTTCATTTAATAATATCGTCAAGTGATACAACCTGAAATTAACAATTAAGCATCAGTAGTGAAATTACCTATATAAAATTAATATAGGCCACAGGGCAAAAGCTATAGAAGAGATCTGTGCCCTGCAAAACTGTGGCTGTGGTTAGAAATAAATAAATCTGTTGTTTCTAAGTTCACTTTCACTTCGATAAGGAGCAATTGATTGGCTTCATGTCCTGACCTTTGGGGAGGAGAGAAGATGTCTGTGAGACTGATAAGCATATTTTTCTTTAAACAATGAGTCTAAAGTCACACGGATCTTCTTGGTGGCATCCTGAAGTTTATATCTGCTGAAGGGCCTGGGCACCTCTAATCTTCAGGGATCCCACCGCCCACATACCTTACTCTTAAGCTACCTCTATAATGGTTTATTGCTCAGGGATCAATAACTGATAATTGTGGGACTTACATTATAGACAGCATATATTATAAAACCTAAGAATTGTGTCTGAGATGTTTTTTAAACTTTGTACTCTGATGGACCTAAGGCTCCACACAGACCCAAGACACATACCAAGAAGATGACTCCAACCATCCTGCAACATCCCTCCTTCCCAGAAACTGACTCTATGGCATGAAGACAGTTTAGACACCCTCATGACTTTACGTCCAATCAGCAACACCCATTCCCTATCCCCCCCCCCGCCCACCAAATTATTCCTTAAAAACTCTAGCCTAAATTCTCAAGGAGGCAGATTTGAGAAATATCTCCTGTTCTCCTTGCTCAGCTGCTCTGCAATATTAAACTTTCTCTACTGTTACATCTGGTCTCTGTTTTTCTGGGCAGCAGGTATAAGAACCCAGTCAGGCTGAAATGGTAGTACTCTAAAATGAGTCTTGATACTTTAACTGCTTAAGAAGGAGGATCTTTTGCTGTTATTGATAAAAAATGTTATTTCTATGTTTATGAATCGGGAATTGCCCCAAATTTAAAGGATCTTAAGGAACAAATAAAAGTCTCTCATCAGATAGGTACTATCTCCTCCACTGATTTATTTTAATAGGTTGAAACTTGGCTCCTGAAAATCTTTATTTAGGGAATTTTTCAGTCTTTGGTTATTCTCCTTGTAGTCATTGTATGTACTTCCCTACTGTGTTGTATCCTCTCAAAGGTTTTAAATGCTTTCTAGTAGCCACTCACACATCAAATGATTGCCATCAGAATTAGACAAAAGAATCCACCAACTCAACTACTCAAGACTGTGATGTCTATGTACTTTTGGATAACTGTGACTACATGACTCTACATCTCAATGCAACTGTTGATAATGATAGCATCTACATGACCCTTTAGCCTGTAGATACATCAATAGTGGTAAGCTAGAATAATGCTATACTATTTGGTCAAACTCCCAGCTTACTGAGAAAATGACCAAAAGGACAGAATTGTTGAAGTGAATTAAAATGGAGATTAGGCCTGAAGAGTCCCTAAGCAGGCAAAGCAAATTAATCCTCATAAGTGACCTAAACCTTGCTTAATTTGCAAACATAAGAGAAATTTAACCTGAGCTATTTCTTGTAAATGCATATATTAAAGAAAAACAGAACTTATGCTCAACCACTCAGAAGCAGCCCACAGACTTATATAACTAAGGACTGTTTAATGAGATAGACTGAATAAGTCAACTTTATAACTGTAACCAATCAAGTATTTTATTTTTATGCTTCCCCATTTACTCTGTAAAAACCTACTTCTTCAACAGAGCAGAGCCCCAGAACCACTTCTGATTTGCAGCTTCTCAATTCATGAATCTCTGTGTGCTCAAATAAACTCTTCAAAATTTTATTGGGTCTCAGTTTACCTTTTAAACAGAAACAAGAGAGTTGTCAAAAAAGATGTTTTAGAAGTATCATGGTAATTTATTGTAAACCCTCCAGGGAGAGAATAAATTTAAACAGATCTAAAAGACATAACAACTAAATATGGATTTTGTTTAGAACTTGAAATTTTGTAAAAAGAAATTATGAGACAATAAAGAAAATGTAAACATTGACTGGATATCTAATAATATTAAGGAATTTCAGGTTTTTACCCGTGGTTATGCTTTTTTAAAAATGAAAGAGAAAAACGAGTTTAATTCAGGAACCCACATACACACAGAGACAATGAATTAGCTTTGCTTGCCAGTGAACCTTCTCAAACATTCTCCACAGTAGTTGCTGGGGTGATGGGTGGAGTGGGACCCACCGCTAATATATCTCTTGAACAAAGTCTGTACTCCTTAGTCTGTAATTCAAGGCTCTCCATATCTAGATACACAAGCATTCTCCCATCCCCTTTTCCTACAGGCATTTAATAGGACATCAAAGGTACACTAAAGCTACATGTGCCAAAGAGCTTTGGTGGCAAATCCATGCCTCAGGCCCTAAGCCCTTGTCGGGGGCCGGGTCTGTGGGGAGGCGGAGGTGTTCTGGGTGACACCCCTTCTTTGGGTGTGAGGCGAGAGTACCGTAGAAGGTACGTGAAGGAGAGAAGCCCCATTTGGTTCAGTCTTGGACTAAGCCCTAGAACTCCGGCAAAGATCACTCTTGAAGCGTGATCTGGAGTAGGTCAGTCTCCTCTCTCAGTAGCCCCATCTGTACACCCAAGGAAGTGGCAGGGGTTTTCTAAGGACCCTTCCAGCTCTGACATCCACTGACGTCCCTCCTGGAGAACGCCGGCTGGTGGACGCGCCACGGAGCCGACACACAGCTGGGCCTCAACAAAGAGCCCGGGTCTGGGGCACGTTCCCGCCCCCAGGAGGTTTTGGAAACTCTGAGCTGCGGGGGGCAGGGCCTGAGCGCGCCGCAGCCAATCGCCAAGCGCCGGGGGCGCCGGGGGCGGGGCCTCGCGCGAGCTGTAGCGGCGGCCAGGCTGGGTCCGAGCATCCTGCGGCTCTGGACCCGCCCGGCCCGGACATGGCGACCGTCCGGGCCTCCGTGAGAGGGGCGCTGCTGCTGCTGCTGCTGCTGGCCGTGGCGGGGGTCGCCGAGGTATCAGGGGGACTGGCCCCGGGCAGTGCGGGTGAGTAACCTCTGGAGCAGCGGTTCGGGGCAGTCGAGAACGGCTGCCTCAGCGCTCCAAGATGGCGCGGGGCAGGGGGCGGGGGTGCGCGCGACCCCCAGACCTGGCTCACGTCCGGTGACCCCGGGTCCAGAGGTCTCGGCGGTCCCCAGGGCGGTGCCGAGGCGGGGCGAGTGAGGAACTCTCTCTGCCCCTAAGAGCTTCTGAACGGTGACCCGGGTTCAAGGCCTTGCTCTGTCGCCCACCGACATGGGCCCCCTGCTCGGCTCTGACCCCCTCGTCTGCCTCCGGTCCCTGTCAGATATGGGTGAAATGCCCTCGCTCAGGATCGTCGCCAGGCTTGGACGGGATTTCGGATTGGCAGCCGCCTTGCCGACGCCCCGGCCAGTTACTGTTACTTGTTACTTGACCCTCACTGGGTTCAGCGAGGCCGACCCTGGTGGCGGGGAGCACCGAGGGTCCCCACAGCCTGTCTGATGAGTGCACCGTCCGTCACTGACAGGGCTGGGGCTCAGGCGGGCGACGTTAATGACCAGTAAGCCCTGCCCACTGGGGGCTGGCAGGCTTGAGAGTTTTAGTGTTGCTCTAGAGGAATTCAAGCAAGGAGAGTTAGGAAGGAAACCGTTCGGTGCTTATCGATGGTCTTCTCCTGCTGGGCTTTGGAGTGCGACGACGCCTGCCCCCCAGGAGCTCTCTGGCTAGGAGATGGGATACAACAGAAGCTTGGAGTAACTTGACTTCAAGGCAGAGGTGTCCAGAGGAGGGAAGGGCTATGTGTGGGTGCACAGAGGGCGAGAGATGGCATCCACCTAGGATGAGAGGAAAATCGAATCATTCCGCCGACTGTACTAGCCTTTAAAAGATGGCTGGGATGTGTACGTGCAAAAGTGGTGCATTGCATTGCTTACGGGGAGAAACACCTTAAAAAAAAAAGCAAAGTCAATCCCGACAAGGTTTTAAGGTAGCTTACAGTGATAAAATAAAGATTTAAAAAGAAAGACATTGCCGGGCTCGGTGGCTCAGCCTGTAATCCCACGCTTTGGGAGGCCGAGGTGAGTGGATTGCGTGAGCCCGCGGGTTCGAGATCCACTTGGGCAACTTGGCGAGACCTCATCTCTACAATAAATCAAAAATTAGCCGGGCGTGTAGCACGCGCCTGTAATTCCGGCTACTTGGAAGGCTGAGGCGGAAGGATCGCCGGAGCCCAGCAGGTCGAGGCTGCGGTGGCTGGGAGTGGCCACTGCACTCTGGTCTGGGTGACAGAGTGAGACTCCAACTCAAAAAAAAAAGAATTAATTTCATGGTCTGTGAATTATATCTCAATTTAATTTTTATAGAAGCAAAGAAACTTGTTTGTTCATAAAGTTCTTTCTTATACCACCTAAAACTCACTTTAGAAAATGATGGACTAGCTTATTTCTAAAGGCCTTTCCAGCTCTAAAGGTCCATAACAACATATAGTTTGCATTGTTTGATAAAAAGAAAAGTCCAAGTTTGATCTAAAAATGAGCTTGTTCTTTGTACTGAATTGTAGGAAGCATATATTGACTGGTTCCTTACATAAAGGACATTGAATAATATAATGGACAAAGGCTTCCACTGTGGATATGTAGAAAGTGCAGAAAATGTTCTTCAATTCTGAACAGAGATTGAGAACACAATATAAAATTGTATTTCAGTGAAGGCCGGGCTTGTATTCTTGCTCAGTCTTCTTTCTCTTCTCCTTACCCCCATCCAAGGCTGGGTACTTTTCTCTCTGGTATAAGGCTTTGCAGGTTATTGACCCTCACCCCCCTACTATACAAGTTTTATCACCCCTGGCTATTCCTGTTTCTGGGGGGTGGAGGTGAGGGAATGCTTCAACTTGCTCAATGATTTTTTCTGTAGTGTCAGGATCTGTGTGTTATGGCACTTGGTAGTAGCTCTGTTTCTATTTAAGATGTTTTGTAAAAGTACAAAAGAGGAAAAGATGTAACATTAAGGGCCAGGTTTCAACAACTTAACATTTAAAGAATTACGTAATAGTAAGCCTAGAATCCTAAAAAAAAAAAAACCGTAATGAATTTTAAATTAAAAAAAGCAAACACCTTTCTGGAGGAAAGTAATAAGAAACAGGTTCTCTTACCAAAGAAGTATCTTGGCCCACACTGTAGAAAAAGCTAAGGTTGGTAATAGACCAGATATGAGAGTTTATTATGGTATGTGGCTAAAAGTTTCTGCCTTGCATCCATAGATTTAAGCAATTTTTCATTAATCATTCTTTTCACTGTATGCTGTTTATAGAAATATGTAGAAAAAGGTCAAGGTGATTTTTATGTATTACAAATGTGGCTTTTAAAAGAGCAAAACAGATACTATGAGGTTTGTCCAAAAAATACTGTATGAGTTCTTATTATATGTTGTCAACCACTATTTTAGGTCTAAAGCCACTGCTCCCAAGCAGCTTACATTGTAGGGAAGGTGAGATAGTAAACAAACCAACGGGGGAGCTGAGAGACAATACAAACATACATAAAATGATTTCTGGGTGTGATAGAACGCTATGAAGGGACTAAGCCAGATGGTAATATGGAGAATTCAATTCTCTATGTGTCAGTGGAGGGGGAGTAGTTCTTTACGTGGAGTTGACAAGAGTGGCTTCTGAAAAAGTGAAGTTTAGAGCTGAAATCTAAAGACTGAGAAAGTCCTATTCTTAGGAAAAACAGAGGTGGGATCCAGAAAGTACAGAGGACTTAAGGCATAAAGCTGCTTACCTCTTACCTGAGAATGTGATTTGGTCCAGTTTATCTTTTGATCTAGGCCAAAAAAAATCATATGATGTTTGCTAAATGATGGGTAGTACTGAAATGTGGTAACAAAGTAGCACAATGAGAGAAATAAAACTTTTTGCCTGTGAAAAAGTTTTTTGTATAACTATTGTTTATTGTATAACTATAGGGTATTATCACTTATTAATCAATAAAATTTTTTGAGCTGAGCACCACTAATTGTATGAAGAAGCTTACAGTCAATCTGGGGATACTGTAGGAGAACCCACACAAAATAATTAAAGAAGAGTTAAATTTTAAAGTTTCCAGTGCTGACTAGAATAGAAGGGTATTAAATAACCAAAAAATCAGCATGACCGGGAGTTGTTGGAGAAGAAAGATTTCTTACCAAGAGTTGAGATGGGATTTAAGCCTTGAAATATGTTTGGGGTTTAGGCCAAAGACTGTGTTCCAAGTAAATGTAGATTTTCTTTGCTAAAATAGTAACAGAAGTTTAGGGGAGGAAAGGCTAGAGTAAGACTTGGAAGATGTAGCATTGGAATAGCAGGAAGCCCTTGATTAGAAGAGTGACGTCATGAAATTTGTATTTAAAAAATGTAATCTGGCAATCATGTTGGCACTAGAATTGAATGAATATAATTGGCTGCTGCAGCAGTGTAATATAAAGCAAGCAATGGAGAAGGATATCTAACTTGTAAATGATTCAGATAAATACAATATATGTCACACAGATAGATAAAGCAGTATGACAAGATGTTAGCAATGTTGAATTGAGGTGGTGAATATATTAGTAATCATTTTGCTATTTGATTCTTCCTTAGTTGATTATATTTTATGTAGCTAAACACATACACCTATATTTAAAGGGATATAAATGTGGCAATTGCATGAATGTATTTATAAGTGAAAGTAGCAGTTGTCATTTAAATGTTTTTAAAGTAATTGTCATTTTCCAAGTTGTTTTGAAAATAAAAATGTGATTAAAAATAAGATTTCACATAATAATGACGCAGGGTCAGATTTTTAAATTAATTTTTAATATTTGCAATAACCTTTTTCCAGTGTCAGCTCAGACTTAGTTTTTTCTCCTCAACAGTGTGAAATATATGTACACGCGTGCATGTGTGTGTATTCTGTTCTAATTTTCTTTTTTTTTTTTTTTTTAAGTTGAGATCTCACTCTCTCTCAGGCTGGAGGGCAGCGGCACATTCACAGCTCACTGTAGCCTTGCCCTCTTGGGCTCAGGCAAACCTTCCATCTCAGCCTCTTAGTAGCTAGGACTAAAGGAGTACCACCACGCCCTGCTAATTTTTTTTATTTTTTGTGTAGAGATAAAGTCTCACTATGTTACCCAGACTGGTCTTGAACTCCCAGCCTCAAGCAATCCTCCTACCTCTGCCTCCCAAAGTGCTAGCATTACAGGTGTGAGCCATTGTGTCTGGCCCTAGTTGTTCTTTAGGAAAACATTAATTAGAGGGAAACTTTATTTTCTTTGGAAAAAACAAAAATGGCTTTTCATTAGCCAAATTGAATTATAACTTTTGGGAGACTTCTGTGGCAAAATTTCTTTTAACTTCAAAAATCCTATAATTCTATGGATTTTCTTATTTTTAGATTAGGATGTATATTTGCCTTTTTAAATCACAGCTGGCTTTGGGAGCTACATTTTTCTGCATGTGGCAGGAGCATGTGCTTCCTATCTTTAGTATACATGTGGCCAAAACCAACCAAATCTTTATGTTTCTAATTATCGGATAACTCAGCTTGCATATTTTCAGGTTACACCAATACCTTCTTAAACTCTAAAATATGGCCTTTAGTAGTCAGTTTTTAGTTTTTATTAATTTTGTAATCATAGACTCCTAGAATAAGAATGCAAGATATGATGCTAATCCTAATGTCTTTAATGAGGATAACACCTGTGCTTTTTATTTTTATGAAATCAAGTTTTATTTTGAACTTTATTTGTTTAATTAATTCTATTTTATGAGAATAAGCAGAGTTTTAAACTATTACTCTTGAAGAACATCCTGGGATCAAATTATAAAACCAAAACATTTCTAGAATTCATTGTCTTCTCTTGTAGAAAACATTAGGCCTTGGAGAGGTTTTTTTTTTCCTTCATTGTAATAGTTGAATGACCCGATTAATCCATTTTCATTGCCCTAAAAAAGATAAAGACTCTTAATTGCCACATTAATTGCATTTGAATTCTTTCCCCCATTCTTAATGATGGCATGTGAATTGATGTCTATTTGTAGACATTTATTTCTTGAAAAATATGCAATGTTAAAGATTCTAATAAGTTTTTATTCTTTTAAAGGTAGAAAAATGTATACTAACACAATAATGCCTAAGATTAAGAATAGGATGTCAAAAATGTGATAGAGCAGATGTCCCCTAGCTTGTTCATGGAAGGTGGTAGTCCTCTCAAAGGAGGATGTATACTATTACATAGAAATGCTTGGTTGGGAGGGGGAAAACAGTTATTATTAGAAGTCTTCAGACTGCCGTATTTCATCTCATTTTGTCAGAAATATCAAAAAGGCTTTTGGAAAGACTGGGAGGAAAAATATGCCAAAATGCCAACAGAGTCTGTGGCCGGACTGTGGAAATATAAATACTTTTTATTCTTACTTGCCAATTTTTTGTGAAAAAATAATTATTTAAAATTTTTAACTTTAGGGGGTCCTATAAATTTGACCTTTACTAGTAAGTAGGAAAAAAATAGGCCTTTATCTTTATAAAATGTTCTGTAGTTGGAGTTTTAATTATAACACATTTTGTGTTTCTGTTCTAAATTGACTTTTGCTTCAAGAAACTTTTTTTCCCCAAAAAAATCTCTATACCCGAATCAGACTCCTGTCTGCCTGATTGTTTACTTTTTGCTAAGTCTTTTTGTGTTTATTGGGACCATATGTTACCCTGAATTATCTGTTCGTGATCAGCTGGATTTTCTGCCCTTGTATGACCTTTGTGTTAGAGGCTAGTAGAAAGTGCCAACTTTTATAGTATTTCAGAAGAGCACATCAGTATCACACAGTATCCTGCCTGCCCTCCTATTCTAATGAGACTAGGGAAATGTAGAAACTCAGGAATTGGAGGCACTTTGGTATGCCATTGCAGGAGAAGTGTTGTAAGAAAGCCTTGAGTGCTTGGGCTCTCTCTTGTTTTAGCACTTCATAGAAAGTAACTACACCTAGCCGGGCATGGTGTCTCATGCCTATAATCTCAGCAGTTTGGAATTATGTATATATGTAATGTGCATATAAACACTCATACACACACATACATAGTTTAAAAAATATGGTGAGTTATATATATTTTAAACCACTGTACCAGATATAGCTGCCTGAAATGTAACATTTTCACTTCCATGTGTCTTTTGACTTGCCAATCCTAAACAGTCTCTAATCATTCCAGCTGTATCTTTTTTTCAGTCTTCTATACTCTAGAACAGTTTCATACTCCTGCTGATTATCTCTATAGCCAATAGCCAATGAATTCCTCTGGGCCCATAATTCTGCTTGGAAACCTTTTTCCCTTTCTTTTATTTGATGTTTCATTCTCTAATTTGATGAAGCGGTGTTCCTTTGAATACAAGTTTGAGAAATATATGCATAGTTGTTTCCTTTCTCTACTCTCCAAAGTAGCTGTTTCAGACCTCTATAGTTTTAACTCAAGCCCACAACCCTATCTCAGTCCTATTTATTTTCAGACCTAATCTTTGTTTCATAGAGAAAATAGATGTTGTCCACTTCCTCTTATTGGTGTCCTTAAATCCTTTCTTCTTGTCTAGACTTTGTCCTACCATCAGATTATAGGCTGGATAAAGTCAGAGAGCATACCTTTTGTTCACTATTGTATTCCTGTCCCTAAACACGATGAACCCACAAGGAATCACCTTGTTTCTCTGTATTTTGTTACACTTGCAACTATATATGCTATATATGCTATAGTTCAGTTCTGCCCTCAAGAGTCAGCATACATCCTACAAGTTTAAAGGGCATGGTCCCCAACAAGATGATCTTTACTCTAGATTCCAGCCTTAGTTCAGGGGTCTCCGGGCCACCCATAGTTTTGGCCAACTGTCTGTAAATCCCAGGATTCTCATTACCCCCTCAAGTTCAATAATTTACTGGAATGACTCACCGAACTCTGGGAAGCACTACACTTAAAATTATGGTTTTATTATAAAGGATACAGTTCAGGAGACCAGCCAAGTAAAGAGGGGAGAGGTTTAAGAGGGAATGCAGAACTTCTGTGTCCTCTTCTCATAGAATTAGGGAACATGTATCATCTTCTCAGCATATCATTGTGTTCACCAACCAGGAAAGCTCCACAGTTTTTATTGGGGTTTCAGTACATAGGCGTGATTGATTGAATTATTGGTCACATGGTTGAGTCTATAGTCCTCATTCCCCTGCTGGAGGTTGGAAGGTCAGGTTGTTATCATGTAGCTCAAAGCCCCAACCCTCTAAACATATGGCTGTTCTTTAAGTGTTGTCAGCCCTCCATCCTGAAACTATCTAGGTGAGACCATGGGGCTCGCCTCATTTGCATAACAAAGGCATCCTTATTACTCCAAAAATTCCAAGGAGTTAGAACTTCCTCCCAGGAACCAGGGGAAAAGGCCAGTCAGACTATTTATTATATAATACTCTACTACTACTCAAAAGTGGAACTCCTCAAAAGAACTGTCTGTGTTCTTCCTTGAATTCTCTCTTGAACTCATTCCAGTCAGGCTTTTGCCTTCACCATTTCACATTGATGACACTTAAAGGTCACCAATATCTTTCCCGTTGCTAAAGACTGTGATCAATTTGAAATCTTCAGTACCTGACAACAGTATCTACCACAGTTAGTGTCTCCTTCTTAAATTTTATTTACTTGGCTTTTTGGACACCATTTTCTCTCTTAATTCTTTTCCCAAACATTGGCCACTTTCTGGCATCTTTAAAGGATAGCATGCAACTCAGATCTCTTCCCTTTCATGTGCCATCATTCAGATACTGTCATGGCTTTAAATATCATATACACAGTGTGACTCCCAAATTTACATCTCTATTTTAGAGACTTCTGAACTGATGTATCCAACTGTGTACTCATTATATCCATTTAGATATCTAACTGGCATCTCAAAATTATGCCTAAAACTGAATTTCTGATCATCTCATCCTCTGCAGTCTCACCTGGTCTTTTCCATTTCAGTTAATGGCACTTGCAGATATTTCTGTCTTTTCACTTTCTTGAACCAAAAACCTTAGTCATTCATTATTATTTTTCTTCCTTGTTCCATGTCCAACCCAAAAGCATTTCCTATTAGCTTATATTCATATATATATATATTTTTTTTTCCTGGCTACTTAATACCACCTCTACTGCTACCACCCTAGTCCAAGACACCATAATGTCTTATCAGAACTACTGCAATAGCTTGCTGACGTTTCTTCTATAGAGTATATTTTTAACACAGGAACCAGAGTGGCTCTCTAAAAATGTTATTTAGATTGTGGCATCTTGCTCAAAGCCCTTCAGTGGTTTTTCCACCCATATCAGAGTAAAAGCCAAAGTCCTTACAGTGGCCTATAGAAACCTGTATGATCTAGTCCCTCTCTCTGCTCTCATTATGCACTACTCTCCCTGTCAGTAATTCTTTTCTAATCACCCTCCTTGCTATTCTTAGAACACACCAGAAACTTTGCACTTGCTGTTCCTGTGTGGAAAACTCAGTGTGGTTTGTTACCTTACTTCCTTTAAGGTCTCTGCTCAATGTCATCTTTTCAGGGAAGCTCCCTAGCCTGCCCTGTAAAATATATAATCTTTGCCACACACACAGCCTCCTTACTCTTTAACCTGCCTTACTATTGCCATTTAGATATCTAACTGGCATTTACCATCTTCTCATATGCATATCCTCTCTCTGTGTGTCTCTTTTCACATATAATAATTATATATGTTTATTTACATCTGCATTATGTATTTATTTATAACATGTTCTGCCAAGTTTTATTATAAAAAACAATTTTGCATGGTTTACTTTTCACCAATTTGTTTTGACATGCTTTTAATAATATCAGAAACACCTGGATCAATGATAGCCAGTGTGCATACTCTGTAGTCTTTTCCATACACTGTGCCCAATTCAATATTATTACCACTGTATTGATGGACACCTGTTTTGGCCAACATAACATACTCTACTTCAGATTTCCTCAAAGCCAGATGGTGGTTGGTGAGGATAACCAGTTTTGCTTTGCCTTGTCGGATCATCTTCAGAGTTTCCTTGTACCCCAGCACATACTTTCCACTTCCCACAATGAGTTGGAGCCTAGAGTTGATGGACTCCAGAGACTTTTTCATCTTTGCAGCCACCATCTTCCTGCTTTAGGTGTGGGATGGCCCCCAACCAAGAGCAGCCACCAAGATGATCGGGGAGCAACATCTGTCTCTTTAATTTCTATGAGAACAGAGACTTACGATCTTTGAATGAATGAATTGATGCTTGGTACTTAATAAGCTGCACATAACATATTTTGTAAGTTAATAAATATCTTGGAGGAAGAAGTATTCCCTGCTTCTTTCCAGGGATAATGTCGTCTCACATACACTTTATTTTATCCTCTTGGGACTCCTCTTGAGAAATTTTTCTATCAGAGAAGCATTAGCTCTCTACTACTTTTTTGTCTGTAAAAAAGCTCAAGTCTTTTCCACTCTAAAAAAATGTGTGTTGGGGGGAGCTTCCTGTGACCCTGCCTCCTCTTGTAACTACCACTTTTATCCTTCTGTCACTACCAGACTTCTTAAGAGTTTATTTTTGCTTTCTTATACTTTCTAACCTCTGGTCTGCTCCCTGATGACATTCACTACTACCAGCTCCATAAAAAGTACATGTAAGGCTCACCAAGTGGCCTTCTAATTCGTAAACCTATTTCCTTTTTTAATCTTCAGTCCAGTATGACTCTTGTACATGACACTAACTACTCCCTCTCCTGTGATGCCACTTTCATGGTTGACCTACCCCTCTAACTATTCCATCTCAATATCTTTCTCTGTTTCTTCCCATGTTTTAGATATTGATGTTCTTTTAGACTGGTGCCACATTCACTTCTCACTAGAAGTTCTCCCTAGACAGTGCCGTTGATTTCCATATACCTCCTTTATGCTGATGACTTTTACATTTGGATCTTTAAGCTTGGCTTTACCTGCACTCCAGGCTTGAATTTTTGCTTTACTGGCATTTCCATCTGGATGTCCCATAGGAACCTCAAATTCTCGTGGCCAAAACAAAATTCACTTTTTATCTTTTGACTTTTTTGGGGGGGTTGGAATCTCACTCTGTCGCCCAGGCTGGAGTGCAGTGGCACACTCCCGGCCACCACAGCCTCGGCCGGCTGGTCTCCGGCTATCCTTCCGCCTCAGCCATCCAAGTAGCTGGAACTACAGGCACGTGCTACCACGCCCAGCTAATTTTTGATTTATTGTAGAGATGAGGTCTCACCAAGTTGCTGGATGGGTCTCAAACCCCCGTGGGTTCAGGTAATCCACTTGCCTCAGCCTCCCAAAGTGCTGGGATTATAGGCTGAGCCACTGAGCCTGGCCTTGACTTTTTATTTTAGATATAATAATAGACTTTTATGGGGTAGTTGCAAGGATGGAATAAAACAAACTTAGTAGAATTCTGGCACTTAAAGAGCACACAATAAATAGTAGCAACTATTATTATATGACTGTCTCCCAAATTAGACTGAGGGCAGAGACCATATCCTCAAAACTATCACTGTATTTGACTTGTTATAGGTGCTCAGTAAAGGTTTGTTAAGTTAAAGTGAACAATAATAATAATAATCTGTTGAATAAATGGTTTGTGTAACTATCTGAGTTAGCTTAGTCATCTTGTTTTTTTAACAGTGGGACAAACATATGATATTTATTCTTTCTCTCTAGGTGCATTGTGTTGTAGTCATTCAAAGGATAACCAAATGTGCCGCGATGTATGTGAACAGGTAAGCTTCCATAATAATTGTAGAGGCTATTTATGTAACTGCTATATTAAATGTGATTGTTTTGGAGAAATCTGGTGAATAGCATCTTAAACAAGTGATCAGAGTTCATGTTGCCAGTAATGGGACAAATTGGCACGTCTGCTGACATGATACACTGAGAAGAAACACAGTATCTTATATAGGATTCCTGCCAAAAATGCATAACCTGAATTATGGAGAAACAGTCAGGTAAACCCAGAATGAGGCATATTTGTTAACCCATACTCTTAAAAAACATCAGTGTTATCATCATCCTAAGTAAATGGACTCAGAAACAGAAAACCAAACACCACGTGTTCTCACTCATATGTGGGAGCTAAATACAGAGATGGGAATAATCAACACTGTAGATACCAATAAGGGGAGAGGGGGTGGGGGAAAGGAGGTTAGCGTTTAGCAACTACTTACAGGACACAATGTTCACTATTGGGGAATGGGCCACCTGAGACTCAATCCCCACCTCTACACAATTTGTTCACTTAATGAATATGCATGTGTACCACCTGAATCTTAAAAAAAAGTCAGTGTTATAAAAGAAAAACTAAGAAACTTTTCTGGAGTAAAGAGACATGGCAGTGAAATGCAATGTGTGATCCTGCTTTAAGTACATTATTGAGATAAGTTGGTGAAATTTGAATATGGACTGAATATTAACTATATTAATTATATCAATACTGTGATGCTAAATTTAGTGATTGTGTTGTGGTTAGGTATGATGTTGTTCTTGTTCTTAGGAGATCCATGCTAGGATTTAGAAATTAATGATCATAATGTCTATAATGATTCTAAAATGATTCATCAAAATAATAGTATGTGATAATATGTGGATAGAGAGAAAGAAAAAAGGAGATATTATAAAATGTTAAGAATGGGTGAATCTTGATGAAGGCTGTCGGGGTATTCATTGTTCTAGTCTTAAAACCTTTCTGTGGCCGGGCTCAGTGGCTCAGCCTGTAATCCCAGTGCTTTGGGAGGCTGAGATGAGTGGATTGCCTGGGTCTGTGGGTTCAAGACCCACCCGGGCAACTTGGCGAGACCTCATCTCTACAATAAATCAAAAACTAGCCGGGCGTGGTAGCACGTGCCTGTAGTTCCAGCTACTTGGAAGAATGAAGTGAAAGGGTCACCGGAGCCCAGCAGATGGAGGCTGCAGTGGCTGGGAGTGGCTACTGCACTCCAGTCTCGGTGACAGAGTGAGACTCCAACTAAAAAAAAACCCAGAAAGCAAAAAAGCCTTTCTGCGGGTTTGAATTTCGATGATTGAGCCTTTTTATGCAGGCTCCACTGAAGCAATGCCTACTTTAAAAGTCCTGCTTTTCTGTCATCATCTTGGTCATGTAGTTCTAGCCTTAGCACTTGGGAGATAATGGTCTTGGTCATCTTTTGGAGCCATTTTCAGCCAATAACCTAGATTCTGTCACATTCTAAAATGGAGAGAGCTACTTCCCTTGGACTGTAACTTCTCTCAAATAGTACTGTGGACTTAGAAATATTTTGTAAGAGATGCTCTGATTGTAAGGCATGACAGTGATTCAGCTCATCTAAATAGTTACTAGAGAATTCAATGATATGTCAAATCACTGTTGCAGATTATGTTTTCTATAAATTTACTGCCAGAAAAATAGCTTTTTAAAGCAAAAATGGCCCATTGGTGGTATAATTCATCATAAGGAAGCTTTTAAAATAGCTCTGCTACTTTTGGAAACATCGCCTTCCTGACTTTTCCCTTTGTTTCTTCTTGCTTTTTCCACTGATATTCCATAGGTGAATGATTTTTAAGAGGTGTCTTGTAATGAGGCACCTGCAGTAGGCAAGGTCTAATTTCTTAAAATCTTAAATATTAGAAATTCTATGATTTGGCTGGGCACAGTGTCTCAGCCTGTAATCCCAGCACTTCGGGAGCCTGAGGTGAGAGGATTGCCTGGGCCCAGGGATTTGAGACCAGCCTGGGCAACTTGGTGAGACCTCGTCTCTACAATAAATCACACACACAAAAAAAAAAAAGAAAAGAAAAGAAAAGAAATTCTATGATTTAGCAAATTAATTTAATATCATTAATAATAAAGAACATTCTTCCCCAACCAAGTTCTTAACTAATTGAGAAATAAGGCAAATAGATCCCAAAATATTACCTTTATTACTAGTTACATGGATGTTGAATGTGGCTTTTATCTCTAGGTGCACACTAAATGACAGAATTAGATTTTTACTCCCAGAGGAGGAGAGGTAAGAGCTGTGTTGCATATGTTCACTTCCTCCTGCCAAACTCAGCAGTCAGCAAAGTCAGTCATCTTGATCATGGGAGAAGTGAATGAGGAGTGTGGAAAGAGGCCAGGGCTGTTCAAACTAGTAGAGCTCACTCCAAATGGAAGGAAATACCACATGAGTGAGGAATCATTATTTCTTCAACTAGGAAATGAAGTCAGGATGAAGTCCTGATGACATTTAGGTTTTGAGTTGGCATGAATAGTAGTATTCTTGATGACTGTGGGAGGTTGGGGAAAAGATTTGGTTTGAAGGGAAGGGGAATTGTTATCTTCACTGTGTGAAGGCAGAGATTAGGAGTTAAAACTTTTGGAATTGGAATTTAGGCAAGAAGTCAGGGCTGGCGGCTTACACAAAATAAGTGTGAGGGATTACAGTGAGGCTGTCAACAGTGTCAGATGCCAAAGAAAAGGAGTCTGAAATCTGAGAAAAGGCCCTTAGTTTAAAAAAAAAAAAAAAAAAAACCCTGTTAGCAGAGATATTCTGGAGCAGGGACTTTTGTTTGTTTTGTTTATGCTGAATTCCTTGGTGCCTAGAACAGTAACACTTAAAACTCTCAATAAATATTTCCAGATTGACTAGAGTGGAGCTAAAAGTCATACTGCAGGAATTTAAATTTTTTAAAATAAAAATGTAAATTTATTATGTAATTTTTCAGACTTACAAAAATGTGTTTTATATATGTATATCTTCCCAATTATATTCAGTTCTTTTAATATAGGGAGTGGGTCTTATTTCTCTGTTTTGTACTCATCCCTCACTTATGCAGGCTGATCAATAATGTCTGCAAGTTGATTGATGAAGAAATGGATGAAAGGAAAAAGCTGGAGAAGTCAGTAAGTCAGTGCAGGAAATTAAGATTTATTTTAAGATGAAAGGGCTTTGCTTGTTTCAAGACAAAGGGAAAATGAGTTATGACAGAAGGAGGAGATAAGTATGGGTAAAAAACTTCTCAAAATTCAGGATTGTAAATGCTATGATTTGATTATTACTGCCTTGGATGATGTACAAGTTTGGTTATTAAATTTTTTACTCTGAGATGATTTGCATAATTACAGTGTATATTCTGAATAAGCATTCATCTTTCTTTCTAAGTGTGATTACCAGTTGCTTAGTAAGAAAAGTGACTTTTTTTTTTTTAATTTAGAAAATAAATTAGAGCGAGAGAGAGAAAGAGGAGATTCACCTCCCCAAGGTAGGGGAGGGAACCACAGCTTAAGAAAACATGGCTTGGGTATAGCTCAAAGAGCACATGTCCCACACCATAGTTTAGCAAGGCAGTGACTGAAAAGTGACCTCTTATATTCAAGTCTACCTTACTGTCTGGAAGTATATACAGTGCATGCTGATTTCTTTAAGCTAAATGTATTCATAAGAAGTATATGTTTATCAGTTACATTCATTCTACTTTATAGAATCATAATTTTTTTTTTAGTCAGAGTTTTTACTCTGTTGCCAAAGCTGGAGTACAGTGGCACGATCATGGTTTGCTGCAGCCTCCAACTACTAGGCTCAAGCAATCCTCCTTTGTCAGCCTCCCAAGTAGCTGGTACTACAGGCATGTGCCATCACATCCAGCTAATTTTTTGGTATTTTGTAGAGACAAGGTCTTGCTGTGTTGCCTAGGCTGATCTCAAACTCCTAGGCTCAAGTAATCCTCCTGTCTTGGCCTCCCAAAGTGCTGGAATTACAGGCATGTGCCACTGTACCCTACCTAGAATCATACTTTTAGAGACAGAGGGAGCCTGATAGATTATATAACTTTGAAACTTTGCTTATTAGCTATTCAAGAAACTACAACCTGAGAGTTAAATGTAGAAAAATGTTTCCTTATGTGCCATACCTTGTGCTATATACCCCTTTGCATGCATTATTTCACTGAATTTTTACACCAAGTCCTTGATGGAGGTAATGTCATTATCTGCATTCTATAGATAAAGAAATTGAGATATAGAAAAGTTAACTACTTACCAAGGCCCAAGCTAGTAGTGACTTGAAGAGCAGAGACTCATGCCCAAATGTGACTGATTACAGAGTCCATACCCTTAGCCACCAGTATATAACTACCTTCTTTAAGGTCTTGTAGGTTGCCCAATGTTCCTCAGAGTATATCCAACTTTCAGGTCCATGTTCTTTTCATTGTTCTAACCTGTTTCAGGTGTTTGTAGATTTTTTACTTTTGTTTTTGTTGTTTTTGAGGAGAAATGGAATTGGGGAAAGAGAATGAGTGAGATGGCAGAGCCTTCTCTGTGCTTCTTCCTGTTCCCCTACTAGTGTCATGGACTTGCTTGCTTCCTTTTTCTCTCTGCCTGCCTGCCTTTCTTTCTCTCTCTCTCTTTGTCATTCTTTCTTGTCTTTCATTGTTCTTCCTTTATTCGTTGATTTTTTTCTTCTCTTTTCCTTTTATCTTTTTATAAAAGTGGATAATTTCAAGTATATACAAAAGGTAGAGAGAAAAGTATAATAAACCCCCATATTCAGCCTCAACTTTATTAAGTCATGACCAGTATTTCATTTATAGCTCCCTGTACTCTTCACCTCCCCGTTTTATTGAGGCAAATTTATATTGAAGCAAATCTCATTGTCATTATTTGATTCATAAATTTTCAGTCTGCATCTATAAATTATAAGAACTCATTTTTTCAGAAAAAACATAACTACAATACCATAATCACTGCTTTGAAAATGTAATATTCCAGTATCTAGTTTTTATTCATATTTCTTAGTCATTTCATAAGATTTTTTTGTTGCGTTTTGATTAGAATTCAAGTGCTATATATGCATTGCAATTGATGATATGTCTTAAATATTTTTTTATTTGTAGGTTTCTCCTTGCAATTTTTTTGATAAATAAATTTAGTCATGTATCCTGTAGAGTTTTCCACAGTCTAAACTTTGTTATTCACATCCCCCGGTGTCATTTTAACATGTTCTTCCTTCGTTTATATTTTTTAGTAATCGGTAGTTAGATTTAGAGCAAAGCCTCCGATGGTGCTTTCTATAATGATGAAAATATTTTATACCTGTATGATAGCCACTAACCACATATGCCAAGTGAACACTTGAAATGTGCTTTAAAAAACTGAAGAACTTGCCGGGCTCGGTGGCTCAGCCTGTAATCCCGCTTCTTGGGAGGCTGAGGTGAGTGGATTGCCTGAACCCGTGGATTCGAGACCCGCCTGGGTAACTTGGTGAGACCTCATCTCTACAATAAACCAAAAAATTAGCCGGGCGTGGTAGCGTGTGCCTGTAGTTCCAGCTACTTGGAAGGCTGAGGCAGAAGGACTGCTGGAGCCCAGCAGATCGAGGCTGAGGTGGCCGGGAGCGGCCACTGCACTCCAGTCTGGGCGACAAAGTGAGACTCCAACTCAGAAAAAAAAAAAGATTGAAGAACTTGAATTTTAAATTGTATTTAATTTTTTTTTTTGAGTTGGGGGGTCTCACTCTATCACCCAGACTGGAGGGCTTGGCATGATCACAGCTCACTGTAGCCTCGACCTCTTAGGCAGGCAGTCCTTCCTCCTCAGCCTCCTGAGTAGCTGGAACTACAGATGCACACCACCATATCCTGCTAATTTTTTTACTTTTTTTGTGGAGGCAAGGTCTTGCTATGTTGCCTAGGCTGGTCTCGATCTTCTGGGCGCCAGTGATTCTCCTGCCTCAGCCTCCAATGTTGGGATACAGGTGTGAGCCATGGCACCCAGCCTGTGTATCTTTAAAACATGCCCTTCACTGCAACTTTGAACTCCTGGGCTCACATGATCCTCTCACCTCAGTCTCCTGAGTAGCTGAGACTACAGGTGTGTGCTATCATATCATGTCTGGCTACTTTTTAAATTTTTTGTAGAGATGGGTCTCACTATGTTACCCCAAGTCTGTCTCGAACTCCTAGCCTCAAGTGATCCTTCTGCTTCAACCTTCCAAAGCACTGGGTTTCCAGACATGAGCCACTGCACCCAGCCTGATATGTGTAATAATTTATAATTTACTGAGGCACCAAATTATAATTACATGAATTAAAGTCCTGTTTGGAAGGGAGTAATTTAGCTTACTGATTGAACTGTGTCAGCTTCTCTGCATCAGTGTTAAAAAACTGCTTTGTCTCTAGATTATGGCATTTTATGGAGAATATATGTGTCATAATACTATTCAAAAATTTAATCTTCACCAATATCATGGGACTGACATTGTCTATTTTTTATCATTATTGGTCGACTAAAAGTTGATTTTTAGAATATTTTGAAATAAATTTATCTTTTTTTCTTTTTTACTCTCTCTCTTATTCGCTGCCCCTCAAACAGGTTGGTAGCCTGGGTGTCTCCACTTTAGATCATTAGAAAAGGATCTAGACTTGCTCTATTTGAACTTTCTTGTTTATTTGTCAAACTGATCAGCCTTTTAAGAAATATTACCTCAGCTTAATTTAGATGCTTCCAAAGGTTTTCTGCTTATAAAAGGAAGTTGGAAAAAATAGTCTAGACACCTGAAAAACCTAGAAGATAATAAATTCTACCTCTTTTTATTTCCTATAGAACAGCAGTCCCCAACCTTTCTGCCATCAGGGACCGATTTCATGGAAAACAACTTTTTCCACAGACCAGGGTGGGGGGGTGGTTTCAGGATGATTCAAGCACATAACATTTCTTGTGCACTTTATTTCTATTATTATTACACTGTAATATATAATGAAATAATTATAAAATTCACCATAAAAAAAGAGGCGTGGACAGAAGTGGCAAATAAAATAGTGGGCAGACCATGCACTAACTGAAATAAATGGCAGGTTCTAACTTAAAGCCTGCCACCAGATGCAACTGTACAATTGAAGTACATCAACTCACTTGCCATTCACTGATAGAGTTTTGATATGAAACTGCAAGCAATTCATTTATTATGGTCTCTGTGCAGTCAGACCTCATTGCTAATGTTAATCTGTATTTGCAGCCCTCCCCAGCACTAGCTAGCATCATCACCTCAGCTCCACCTCAGATCTTCAGGCATTAGATTCTCATAAGGAGTGTGCAATGTAGATTCCCTTGCCTGTGCAGTTCACAATAGGTTCCCTTGCCTGTGCAGTTCGCTCTTATGAGAATTTAATGCTGATGCTGATCTGAAAGGAGGCACAGCTCAGCAGTGAGACCAGTGATGGGAAACAGCTGTAAATACAAAGGAAGCTTTGCTCACCTGCCGCTCACCTCCTGCTGTGCAGTCTAGTTCCTAACAGACTACAGATGAGGGATGGGGGGGGTTGAATGGTTGGAGACCCCTGTTATAGAAAAATACCACAAAACCTTTTTTTTTTTTTTGGGTCAAATAGATTTTTTCCTCTAAAAGTGAATCTCGATTAAAACATCTGTTGCAAAGAGCCCCAGATTATTGCCCAGAAACAATGGTAAGTCTTGTTTAAGTCTTGTTGAACTTAACTGTGGAAGATTTTTGTCTAAATGAAATCATCTAATGAGCTACTTTTACATTTAACAAATTTTTATTTATTTGTTTGTTTATTTATTCATTTGAGTTGGAGTCTCGCTCCATCACCCATACCAGCGTGCAGTGGCATGCTCATGACCACCGCAGCATCTATCTGCTGGACTCAGGAGATCCTTCCACCTCAGCCTTCCAGGTAGCTGGAACTACAGGCATGCGCCACTACACCTGGCTAATTTTCTGATTTGTTGTAGAGATGAGGTCTCGCCAAGTTGCCCAAGCTGGTCTCGAACTCCTGGGCTCAGGGAATCCTCTGCCTTCACTTCCCAAAGTGCTGCGATTACAGGTGTGAGCCACTGTGCCTGGCCAGATTTTTTTTTTTTTTTTTGTCCCACCCTCCCCCCTCCCTGGCCAGATTTAACACATTTTTAAATGTGATTGGGATTTGTGGTCAAAGTAAAGTGTGAAGTTTAACTAATTACTTTTTTTTTTAATCAATATTTTTTATTTTGGTTTTGTGGGGTACAGTTAAGGGTTAGGTGTACTAACTAATTACTTTTTTAAAAATCTTTATACAGATTGCCAGATTGTATATTATCTTTCATCTTTTATTGTCTAGTCTTTGGTATAGGTCTAAAAGCAATCTTAAATATAAATGAGTTCCTGTGTTTAAATTCTTATTATAACATTTTATCTGGAATTTAGAATTTTATTTATTGTATTTGACTAATTTTATGAAGCCTATAATAACTAAATATTACCTTCATCTTAATTTTGAAAAGTTGGATTTGGGATCAGGGAAAATATGTGACTTATTTCTATTGTTTCACTTTCTGGCGTACTCTTGATATATTGCTTACTTATCTGAATGAGGTAACTTAAAATGTCTCTAATGCTTGGGCTATCCTTAGTGTTTGGGATGCCCAGGTGCCAGGTCAAGTAAACCTGAGCTTGAATGCAAGAGGCTCTTTAGATATGGTAGCTTGTATTATGTGAAGGGACAAAAAGTTGATGGTCAACTGGTTCTGACTGACACACTCTCCTTTAGTCTGCAGACACTTTTATCAATTTGCTTGAAAGGAGTGATGTCTAAGTTACCAATACATACTAGACTTATCCTTAGTGCTCTTAGATGGGAAAGTGGAAAAGAATAAACACTATTTTATATCTCAGCTTTCCCTGAGTAGCTAGTTGATGTGCATATAATCTTAGAACATTGACTATATAGACATAGCTATAATCAAAGTAGCTGTACATAATTTCTGTAGAAATTAATTGTCATATTTAGGAACTGGTTATCTACATAAAAGCCTTTTGATGATTACAATTTTAGGTTGAAATTTGGAGTTGCATGAATTCATCTTTGCCAGGTAAGCAATAGAAGTGCAACATTTAGCACTTTAATTTTAAACTTGTGAATGTAAATTCTGTGTTGTTGTCTTATAACCTAATCTGTATGCTGGAGTTTCTGTCCTGATGACCTTCCCATCGGCACCCAAATTTTCTTTCTTTTTTTTTCTTTTTTTTTCTGAGTCGGAGCTCATTCTGTCCCCCAGGCTGGAGTGCAGTTGCACACTCTTGGCCACTGCAGCCTCCACCTACTAGACTCAGGTGATCCTTCCACCTCAGTCTTCCAATTAGCTGGAACTACAGGCATGTGCCACCATATCCGGCTAGTTTTTTAATTTATTGTATGGATGAGGTCTCGCCAAGTTGCCCAGGTATCCTCTCACCTCAGCCTCCCAAAGTGCCGGGATTATAGGCGTGAACCACTGCTCTGGCCTTCAAATTTTCAAATACATAATTTGATTCTAATTCATTCAGTCCTTAATTTTGTGCTCTTGTCTTCACTTCTACCATTCTACTGAAACTAATCTTTGAAAGATCACCAGGATCTCATGATTCCTAGATCTTGGGACTTTTTCTCCTTTCTTTGACTTTTCTGTAACACTTAATATCATTGACCACTACCTTTTATTGACCACTACCTCCTTATGACTCCACCTTGGTCTCAGAACCTTATTCTCTCTTCCCCTTTTACCTGCCATAAGGACTGTAGTTATTCCTGAGTAGTCTTCCTCCCTTGTCTTCACACTCACCCTGGTAATCGCATTCCTTCCCAGAACTGTTAACTAATCAGCTCTACAAAGGAAACTCTCAAATCAAAATCATTGTTTGTAACTTCTAGACATCTCTTCATCTGGTGCCATCTGAAGATCTCTATAGCTCTCTGCATCCAGGTGCTATCTGAAACACATATTTAAAAATCAAACTCATACCTGCACCTCCTGTAAATGATACTAGACTGGAAACACTTAACTTATTTTTTATTCCTTTTTCATTCTAGTTCCATTGACTCTCTCTCCTTGCAAAATCTTACATTTGTTCTCTTTCTAGTTCAAGACTTTATTATTATACTCTTGGGGTAGAATATTATAATAACTTTATAACTAATGTTTCAACACATTGTATCTTTCCTTTCCATTCCCTTCAAAAAGAATCCCTCAGGGAATATCCACTGCCATCAGAATAAAGCCCAAACTCTCTAGCCTGGTAATCATGTTCACCTAGGATTGAAGCTCATTTTCCAACTCTGGTTAGAGCCAATTTCTTGGAAAAAGGAGTATACTCTGTGTATTTCTGAGTCAAAAGACATTGCCTTTAAGTTTGTTTTTCTTTTGTTTGTTTTTTTTGAGTTGGACTCTCACTCTTGTCCAGACTGGAGTGCAGTGGTACACTCACGGCCACCACAGCCTCGACCTGCTGGGCTCAGGCAATCCTTCCACCTCAGCTTTCCAAGTAGCTGGAACTACAGATGCACACCACCACACCCAGCTAGTTTTTGTGATTTATTGTTGAGATGTGGTCTCACCAAGTTACCCATATTTGTCTCAAAATACCAGACTCAGGCAATCCTTTTGCCTCAACCTCTCAAAGTGCTGGAATTACAGTCTGAGCCACTGTGCCCAGCCTAAAGTTTGTATTTCAAATAGAGTGGGTTATTTACTTTCCTGGAATTGTTCATTTCCTTGCCTGTTCTCATAGTTGTCCTTCTACATAGTGTCCTAGAATTTTATACACACACACACACACACACACACACACACACACACACACACAGAGAGAGAGAGAGAGAGAGAGAGAGAGAGAGAGAGTTTCTAACGAACTGTAGTCTCTGTAATGGAATAAATAATATATTTTATCTTTTCACAATTTTATAGCCCATATAGCACCTAATAGAGTGCATTGTACATAGTAGTGACTCAGTAAATATAAATGCTTGTTGAATAATTTAATATTTTCTAAGAGGCCTCTGGGTACATGGAAATGGCACTAAACTAAATTATAGTATAATACTTACAGAGTTCATGACCTACATTGATTCCATTTACATTTCTTACAATTCTTTACCTATTGCCATGAATCTCTGACATTTTTTCAGATGTAAATAATAATCAAATTTAATATAGATGTGGATTTGCAGATTTATGTCTTACATAGGAGCAGCATAAAGCAATTTTTATAGGAGATGAGGAATTTGAAGCACTCCTACAAGCATAAATCTTTCCTCTTTTCATAATTATTTCTTGTGTCTCCTAATTTTATCTCAAGAGTCATTCATTTATGATTGCAAAAAGGATCTAAACAGATTAGAACAGATTGGATTTTTTTTTTTTTTTGAGTTAAGGTCTTACTCTGTCGCCCAGGCTGGAGTGCAAATGGCATCATCACAGCTCACTGCAGCCTCAATTTCTGGGCTCAGATGATCCTTCTGCCTCGGCCTCCTGAGTAGAGTGCTTTGTGTAATTTTGTCATCTTTTAGTTTCACAGTAATTTATGTGGAGAAATCACTGCTGTACATAAATCAAAACAGAATAGTACCTAGTCATTTTGACCCATCATTGTATCCATAAAAGGCAGACCCAGCCCACAGAAATTGTTCCTGCCTGTTTACCAAATATAATTTTTTTTTTTTTATTGTAGAGACAAGGTCTCTCCAAGTTGCCTGGATGGGTCTCGAACCCACGGGCTCAGGCAATCCACTTGCCTTGCCTCGCCTCCCAAAGTTCTGGGATTACAGGCTGAGCCACCGAGCCTGGCCTAAATATAAATTTTTCAACAGGATCATGGGTTTTATGCTGTTCCTAGGTATTTAATATTTTGAATACAATAATAGTTGTGCCCTTTTTTGTGTGTTTGCCTAAGTTAAATTAAAATATTTGCCTCTGATTCACAGTCTAAAAGTAGGGAAGGTGGTGGTGCGTAATCCTAGCTACTCAGGAGGCTGAGCCAGGAGGATCGCTGCAGCCCAGAAGTTTGGGGTCGCAGTAAGCCGTGCTCCTGCCACTGCACTCCAGCCTGGATGACAGAGCAAGGACCCTATGTCAAAGAAAAAAAGAGACCTTGTGTCCAAAAAATAAGTAAATAAATAAAGTGAAGAAGTCCACTCCCTTGCTTTTCTTACCCTATATGTCTTTTGATAGACCTTTGATAAACTACCTACCCAAGAGTGAGACTGTCTTGAAGAGAGTTTAGGATAGGAGAGAAAAGAGACAAAAAAATGCACAGGACCTGATAATTATGTTGTGAGGGACTCTAATGAGACTGATAGCATTGCAAGTAGCAGTAAAAGAAGGGACTTAATAAATTTGAGACCCTGCTGTCTGAGCTAGTTTTCTTATAGACACCTTATTTTACTTTCAACGGTAACCTTGAAATAGTTTGGCATGCTGTTTGCTTTCATTGCTACCTATGACTAAAACATTTGAACATTTTGTTTTTAAGGTGTGTTTAAGAAGTCTGATGGCTGGGTTGGCTTAGGCTGCTGTGAACTGGCGATTGCCTTGGAGTGTCGACAGGCATGCAAGCAGGTAACACTGAGCAGTCAGGCTCTCAAGCATCATGGAGTGCAGTTTGATTTTAGCTGTGCATATATCTTGGGCCTTGCCCACCTCATAGTTTTATAGATGTGACCCACAAAAACTGCAAATTTAGCATTTCTTGCATGGACCATTTCCTTTTAGACTTGTTGCTTTTTTATTTATGGTTGCTGCATATGGCCTTAGCCTTCTTTTGTTCTTTTTTTTTTTTTTTGAGTTGGAGTCTCACTCCTTCGCCCAGGCTGAGGTGCAGTGGCATGCATGCTCACGGCCACCCCAACATCGACCTGCTAGGCTCTGGCAATCCTTCCGCCTCAGCCTTCCACGTAGCCAGAACTACAGGTGTGTGCCACTGCTCCCGGCTAATTTTTTATTTTATTGTAGAGACAAGGTCTCACCAAGTTTTCCAGACTGGACTTGAACCCACAGGCTCAGGCAATCCACTCACCTCAGCCTCCCAAAGTGTTGGGATTACAGGCTGAGCCACCAAACCGGCCTATTCCTTCTTATCTTTCCTTCTCTCTGCCACACAAAGAAGGAATATTGTAGAAGGCAAGGCCTTTTATACTTTACCCATGGGTTATGCCAAGTCAATGCTGAGTGACTCCAAATAGTCATGTAAATTTAGCGTATGTTTGCATGAGAACAGTTGACACAGTTGGCTTATTTTGTTGTCTTCCCTTCTCTCTTTCACCATGACTTTGCCCTGAGTATGTTCTCATATCTCTTCTCTGCTCCTAGGTTAAGTGTGACTCCTACAATGAATTATGACTTCTCTTTGATTTGATACATCTCTGTTCCAATTCAGCTTAGGTCCCTAAGTTCTGCTTCACTATTCATATTTTAATAGTGGTTTCTCAGAGAGGAAAATTTGGCCTCCTGGCTTCTGCACTCCAAGCAGTAGGAGTAGACTTAACTGGGAAAGACGTAATTGTTTAGATGGCCCTGAAACCACAGCTGGAAAGCCTTCTCTTGATTTCTTCTTCTAGGGATTTGTCTCTGGAGAAGAGCATATAAGACATGGCATTACCTTGACTTTCACGCAGACCACTGTACTATGGCCTGGGCAACACTCTTTGGGCAGCACATGGCCTTGCTATCTGGTGCTCTCCTCCAGGCACTGAAGTGAAGCTGTGTTATGGAGGATTTAAACTATAATTTAGTTCAAATTATAGTTTAGTGGAACATAAGCATTTACTGACCCCATTCTGCTTCTTGCCCTCCCTATCCTCATCAGCTGGGCTGTCCTAAATTGCATGGACCTAGGCGCTAGAACAGGAGTAATGGAACAAGGAACCAGGGCCCATGGCTCTGCAGCTACATCTCTAAATGGAGTCTGATGGCACGTGGAAGCATATGTGTTTTGATTTGCTTTATATAGAAAGTACATATATAAATGTGGTAAATAACTTGCTATTTCTGTGTGTATCAGTTTCTCACTATAGAGGAGTTGATGTCTTCTTCAAAAACATGTTAGGAAACTTACATAAAAATAACTGTGTTGACCAGGCACAATGACTCAAGCCTGTAATCCCAGCACTTTGGGAGACCAAGGCAAGAGGATTGCCTGAACCCAGCGGTTCGAGACCTGCCTGGGCAATTTGGCGAGACCTCGTCTCTATAATAAATCAAAAAAATTATGTAGGCATGGTGGCACGATCCTATGGTTCCAGCCACCTAGAAAGATGAGGCCAAAGGATCGCCTGAGCTCAACAGGTGGCGGCTCCAGTGGCTGTGAGTGTGCCACTGCACTCTAGCATGGGTGACAGAGTGAGACTCCGACTCTAAATAAATAAATAAATACTTGTTAAATGCCTGTTGTAGTACCCATTCCTTCTTTAGTTGGCTCTTCCATTGTATATGGCACTTTTCTGAGGAAATTGACTTAGTAAGTTCAGGATAAGAGCTTAGAATGTGAAGGGTTAAAGAAAAAGTAAACTATAAGTGCCCTGGCAGAGCTTCACAAGAAAATTTGCTATGGCAGAGCTTCACAAGAAAATTTGTTACAGAGTGGAATTCAGCTAAAAAATAAAAAGTTCCCTGATTTACATTTTCTTCAAAGTCATCTAGTTTCTGAAATAACAAAAGGACCATGTTATTATGTGAGATTAAAGCCGTAAAAGTTAGAATGAAGCTCTAGAATATTGAGGAGGCCCTAGAGGTGATTTGTGTTTTAAAGAAATTGCATGAAAATGTTTGTTGTATTTTAGGAACCTTAAAATATTTGAACATAAGGTTTTCCATGTCAAAATAAAGAATACTATACCAGCAATTAGCATATGCTAAGTTGTGTGAGGTTATTTTTTTTGTCCTATGCTAAATAGCATGTATAATAAATTAATGGAAAAATTTGTTGGCTTTTAGGCATCTTCAAAGAATGATATTTCCAAAGTTTGCAGAAAAGAATATGAGGTATGCATTTTATTTAAGAAATTTGAATCACCTGTTCTGATACTATTATAATTGAAAATACCATTTAAATTTTTTTAATGAATTCAGTTTTATACAAATTGCCTTTTACCTCACAGAAAATTTGGCTTTGACAAAAGTGTCATTTACCCTGTTAAGAAATGTTAATAACTTTAATTGAGTTTTGTTGAAATTAAGTATTAATTTTAAAGAATTGCCTAAATCTCACATGCAAAGGATTTAACCTATTATGTTTTCATAAAAAAGCAACTGGTTGTACCCAAGGTTGTGAAGTAGTTTTTCTTAGGTTTCCTATCCTTTTTTGTCCCCTTTCCTATCTCTTGATCTTCCAGGTGTCCATTTTTATAAACTACCCCTAATCATGAAGAAAGGTAACCAAAGAAACAGAATCACACTGCTAGTGTGAATACCTTCACATTTTCCTAGAATCTTGCATTTCGGGGAAAAAAAGATATTCAGTTACAAAAGCTGTATTAAATCTGAAGGGCTCTTGTCTCCCAATGGTGGGATTTCAAGTGCTGTGGCATCTAGCTGGGGCAGATATTAGGGAAGGGGTAGAGGAGACATTTTAGATCATATAAATATGTGCAGAAGATTGTCCCTGATGTGAAATAGCTCCTCATTGGGGCTACTTTGTTCATTTTCTAGAACTCCATTGTTAAATATGACAATATTATTGCTTTTCATTGTGTGAGGCCATGTAATTAAGAATTCTTAAGTACATATGCCTCATTAGTCATTTTTATATATAAACATTGAGATTTCTATTGCTGTGTTTTCTTGAAGAAGAATGATAGAATAACTCTCTTAGCTGCTTCTAGGTTTTAGTTCTCTTTTTTTCCCTTTTCTCAGAGCCTATAATTATCTCTCTTCATTAACATTTTTTAACTGGAGAGTCTTATTTATTGTGTCCCTTTGTACTGTTTGCTAAGTTATATCTGTTCCTCTGAAGACAGATTTCTAAGTTAACTGCAGCTCTCCTCTGTTCTTACTGAAAGGATTCTTGCTACAAAGAAGTAAAAGATCTTTTTTTCTTGTCTCTACCTTTGAAATGATCAATTTCAGTTTCTCTTGAACAAAGTGGCTAACTATGATAATTCCTTCTTGTCTCCCACATGATATTTGACACTGTCCATCTTCTATAGCCTGTCCTCCATTATTTTAGTGTGCTTCCTTCTCTTGTCTGGATTTCTGCATTGCCCTAGGAAGTCTGCCAGTATGTGTTGATGAAGGACGGGACAGGAAAGGTAAGAGAGACAAACACTGTCCTATGATAGAAATGCTAAGAATCGTTTACGTTTTCCAGTCCTACCCTCCCTTATTTGGCCTAGAATTAAACAACCGTTTTCCAAAAATCTACATGCCAAGAGGGTTCTTTTATTTTTATATTAAAAGTTGACCCTACAAAATATTCAAGATAATTTAAGACTCAATTTGATTTCTTACGTTATTTAGAAATAAAAAGAGAGATAAGAGAACTTTAGTGCAGGAAAAGGGTGTATTATAAACCCCAAATAATGGTCACTGTCATGATTATAGAAGTCTAGTATAGAAAGGAAAGCTATTTGTTATAAAGTGAATTTGGTAAATTTGGTGTAATACAGCCTATTTTAACTGGATTGGTTGTTTATCAACATCAGAATCATTTATAAAACTAGGCTTTTAGTATCTTTTCCTTAACATTGGAGTGGTCCCTGGGGTAAACTACATGTATGAGCCATTTCTTTAGGCTTACAATTTTAGGGGTAACATTTACCCTGAAGGGTGGTTTTGTGTAGTTTGATAGGAGTTTCAGGGAGTGAGTAATTACATTTGGAGGAACTAATGTTTATCTTTATTGGTAAGCTGCTGTGGTATTCCTTTTGAGGGAATTTGCTAAGACATTTACTTAAATAAATAAAGCTTAAAATTTTTAATGCAATTTAAGATTTTGTTTTATTACAACCAATCTTAGGTAAACCAGTTAAATGTAAAACATTGTTACATCTGAATTTATACTGTGGCTTCTTTCTTTTATAAATCAACAAGTATTTACTGAATATTGAGAGGTGTTGCATACTTAGAACACGCACAGACTTTGAAAGCAGACTTTGGTTAGATTTCTAATTAAGCAATTTACAGCTTATCTCCAAATAGTAAAGAAGTATATCTAATTGAGTCAAGCTAAACAAAATATATATTATACACATAAGGGCTCAGGGAAATCAGAAAGCCAAGCAAATATATTGGGAGTTATCAAGGAAAACTTTCCAATTAAGAGACCTGAGAGGATTGGTATAATTTTGGCAATAAGACTGGGTCAAAGGCATGTTAGCAAAAATGTACATGGCTAATGTAGGGGGGAAAGAGAAGACAGATCTATTTTGGGCTGAGAATCTGTGCTTGGATAGGCAAAGTAGGACCAAATTCTAAAAAGATGGCATTTTGGGGTTCAGCCCATTACTAATTAGGGTAATGATGAAGATTCTGTAGTAGGAGACCAATATAACAAATAACAAAACCAATAGTTTATAAAGCTTAAATAGTTAATCGTGTGCAGGCTAAGTTTTAGATTTCCAAACCCCTCTAGCTCAGCAAAAAGGAGATAAGGCCCAGAACTAGGATGATAATAATAGAGGCAACTCTTCATGAATAAGTTAGAGATTTGAAGGCAAACTTTATCATCAGGATTTGTTGTGATGGATTGAATATAGCTGATGATGTTTAGGGAGTAGAAGAAACAGTTCTAATCTTTAAGCCTAGTTTTCCTGGCATACTATTCTCCTGTGCTTAAAGGTGTCCTGTAAAACTTTCTTTTCTGGCGATAGGGTAGACTTGGTACCTGAACCAATCCTCCAGATAAATATAAAAATACTAGATATAATTTTCTGGAAAGAAAATATGGAATGCTCAAGCCAAAACTAAGTGAAGGCAGGAATCCAGAGTAGTAAGAACACTGAAGAAGGCATTAGCCTTGAGGGCATTTGTGGAATCAATTTTAATGGTCTTGTAGTTCAATGAGGCTCAAAGTCAGGAGACAAATTTTTGGTTCTGATTGAGAGGTGGAAAATCTAATTGAAGTCCCCATCATTCCAAAGGGACTACACTTTCAGTATTATGGTGAGTAAGATATATGTTCATCTCCCTTTCCAGGGGCCTGCAAGGAAAATTGCTTATCTCAAACTTTAATGTTGTCTCTATTGAAAATTTGTAACTATAAGCTGGCCTTCACTTGAGTTGGCAACCTAAATTCATACCGAGTGGGTGTTTATAAAATCTCAAGCTGAGAATGTATTTAAAGTAGTTCTGAAATGGTAGTGACCCTCAGGTGCCTGAGAAAATGTAAAACAGAGCCTCTCTGGAATAGCCTGTCTTTATTCCACACCTCTTGGGATTTCCACAGATAAAATTTTAAGAAAAATATGCAGCTCACAATAAAGAAATAACCAACCTCACCAGAAAACAAGGCTCATCAAATGCAAGCTCACAGAAACAATGGTGAACAAAGTCAGACCTAAAGATACTTCAGATATACAAATTATCAGATGCAGACCATAAATGTTTAATATATTTAGGAAATAAAACAGCCATGAAAATATGAAGGATATTTGAAAAAGAACCACTCACAAAGTCTTCCTGTGGGCTTCCAACAGCACTAGATGTGCACATCATGGATTCATAACACGAACGGTTCTGCTAGTTTCTCCTACTCAACAAGAGATCCAAAGTGTGCATTAATAATGCTCTTGGAATGAAGCTTATTAATGTTTGATTACAGCTTCATTATTTCTAACACTTCTCATTAGTACTGTCACTTAGGCTTCCCAGAATAATCCATCCATGCTGTAGTTCGCCAAACTGGGGTTGTATGACAATATGGGAGGGGATCTAATGAACTGATCAAACTCTTTCAAATGACTAGCCTAGAGTTAATTAACTTCTCTAAATTAAAAAAAAAAAAAAAAAAAAAGAACCAAAGAAAGTATAAGGTATGAGGGGGGATTCAAAAAAATGGAATGTATTTATTAAAAATTGTGTATTTATTCTTACATGCTTAAGCTTCCGTCACCTTCAAAGTGTTCTCTGGTTGATGCATTACACTTATTGAGATGCTTTTTCCACTACTCAGAACAGTTTTTGAACTCATCAATTTTTATGTCTTTTAGTGCTTCTGCTGTTTTTTGTTTCACCTCTTCCATGTTGGCCAAACATTTTCCTCCAAGGACCTTTTTCATCCAGGGAAACAAAAAAAAGTTGCTAGGGCAAGATTGAATAGAGAGGGTGAGGCACGGGGCTCGTGCCATTTTTTTGTCAAAAACTGCTGAATATTCAGTGCTTTGTGGGCAGGTGCACTTGTAAATCACCTGTCAAGAAATGGGCAAATGCATTGAAAGAATCTCAAAAAAAAAAATTCACTGAAGCCAAACACCACCCCTTACAACCAATGCTAGCTGGTATACTGATGTCAACCAGTTCCTAGAACACTTGCCTAGTAGGGGAAGCCTACACTACAATGGGCCTGCCCTACAAAAAATAATTGCACTTTTTTGGTTCCCCCTTATATAATAATTGAAATGTAAACAAAATGGATGGGTGTTATAGTAGATTAGGTGCAACAAAGACATTTAGTGATTGGAAGATAGAATTAAAGAAATTATATGGAAAAGCAACACTGAGGGACATGAAAGATAGCTTAAGAGATATGAAGCTTAAGAGATATGAAGGAAAGTCTCCTACAGTATGTCCTCTACATACAAACCTTCAAGATGTGAATATAAGTTTGCATGTCCAATCACATAAGTTAGTTCATGTGTCTGGCATATATCGTCACATGCGTGCATCCTCTACAAGTGGTTGTGCTTTGTGTACTTTACAGTATGGAGTACAGTAGTACAGTATCTTTATTTCAAGTCGTGGATGTCCAGAAGCAACCATAAAAGCAGCAGTGATGTAGCTGGTACTATATAGCCTATTGTGTTAGTTGGGTACCTAGGCTAACTTTA